TAGTCTAATACCGGCCTTAATGAAGTTGTTTATATCACTTTCGTAAGTGTTAACATTAAAAACATTAGTGAAAACATTATCACTTAAAGTAAATTTTTTGTTCTTTTACTTTCTGGTGCTAGCAAAAACTTTCAGTTTTGAATACAAATGCGATACAACTTGAAACATAAAATAAAAAGCTATTTCACCATAGGCATATAGGTGTTTATATTCACATTCTATTAATTGTAAGTGTTCTTCGTGACGGTAAAATATCGGCGTGTTACCGTACCATCTTCTAAGGCGCACGCGGCCGAGGCGATTTCTTTTACTTTCAACGGCTTAGCCGCCTGTGTGGCGGCTGGTCTTGCGAAAGCGAACAATATCGCGTTAATTAATTCTGCATACATGCGAGCCGGGCGAGAGCGATTGAAAACGGCCAGTCGTCGCGTCGTCGGGAGGACAATGCTCACAGTCGTTGATCTTATCGCTGGGTTTTCTTCTTTTTGCGGCCGATCGGGGCACTCTAGGCGTCCGTGTCCCACATAGCGGGTTCATTTTTCATGCCGCGGCCGACAGATAAGTGACCGCCTAGCTTGCAGTTAAAAAAAAACGAGAATTGCTCTTAAATTGCCCAACAGGCCTCGGAGTTAGGGATATACAGGGTGTGCCTTAAGCTGCCATCAAAATAAACAGATTTAACCATATGAGTAACTAAATAAGAGGGTTTTATTCTGTGTATTCTGTCGGCAGCAGCGGCAGAATACCGCCATCTGTAGCTGGTGCAGCAGACGACACACTCGGAAACCACAGACTATAAAATAATTAAAGGAACTGCATTGGAAAACACAATTAGAGTAACCATTAATTCTACTATCTAATAGATGTCGCTGCGCCATAATGGCGGTTAATTTAAATGTAACAAATACACAAAGAATAAAAAGTTTAATAAGTAATAGATCACAAAACAGCTATTAATAGTTTAAGTTAACCATTGAAATTAACGTGAACCATTGTGAACACCTGTTCCATGACCCATTACTTATGAAATACTTTATCACTTGGTTAAATGAAAAAGTTGAAGCAGTGATACTTAAATGTTTGACAAAATTGCAAATTTTAAAGAATTTGAAATAATTATTTACCTGACTTTATGTAAAATGCATTGCACAGTGACTTGACAAAAATTATGGTTAGATACATTTGTTTCGAAGTAATTGGTTTTCATCAGTACAATGTAATATACTACACTTATAGCAAATAACAATCTTAAACATATGCATTTTGGTTTTTTAAAAGGTGGAGGTGAAAAAGCATCCTAAATTGAAGTTTGACAGCTCGTACTATGAAAATTCTGCAATGTTACGTTAACAAATTGTTTTGCTGAATGTTGGATACTATCTGAGGGTTCCGAGGTGATATTATTACAATTAATAGGTGAACTTGTAGTTGATCCTAAAAATAATGTTGGCACAGCACTTCCTATTACTGTTTTTTAAACACTGGTCTTCACAAAAACAATGATGTGTTTGTTGGAGTAAATTCTGATTTACATAATTTTCAAACTGATTCTATCCACAGTAATTGTCTGTCTTTTGTAATTCTGAAAAAACTTTTATTTCTATAGAACGTACTACAGATATTCATATAGTAAGAAATGTTTTTGCAATTTGGAGCACAACATTGACGTTTAGTTTTACCAGGTAAACTCATTTTGGATTAAAAAAACGAATAAAAAACTGTAAGGCAGTTCAGACGATTGATTCAATAAATCCCTTATTATGTTAATCTAAAACAAAACAAATTTATTAATGTATAAAACGCGGCAACCTACCTGAAGTTCCTGAAGATAAACTATAACCTCAAACATTCACACACACATTGAAATATTTCAGTAACGCATTCTATTTCTGTTGATTGAAAGCTTGGAAATACAGATTCGATATGTGGTTGCAGATTTCTGTTTAACAATTTCCATAAAGGACGATGTTTTGCTGCAACAACGTGAGATGGCCTCAGTGAATGCATGTTCGATCCGCCCTATCCAATAAAAGCCTCTTATTTAGTTACTTTTATGGATTTAACTAAATTTATCTCTATCCTAAGTTGTTTCCTTTAGCAGCTAAATTGTATTGAAATTTGGTACACTGATACTTCCAAATTGATGTCATTTTATGACGTAGTAAGCGAAGTAATTCGATCAGTAGAATGGTGAACAATTTCCCGTCGAACTAATATGCTGATAATTTTGTCGATGATCAAACTGTAGCGTCCATTTTTTTTCTTACTAAGATGTCTAGATTGGTTTAGCTTAAATTCTTCTTAGTAAGCTTATTTTATTTTTCTTCTAAGATATCATTTTAGCCAACCCCCAATAAAGTACAAGAATTATCTATAATTTCCTTTTTGTAAAATTTAACATAAATAGAATTATTTATACAGGGTGAGTCAGAAGTAATGGGTCAACAATAAGCTGAAGATACTAGACACCAAAATATTATGTTTGAGCTCATCATGCTTTATACGAATGTCGCTGGTTTAAGAAATACAGGGTGTTTAAGGTTTAAATTTTATTTTGAAATTTCTCAATAATTGAGAAAGTTTTAAGCATAGCTCAACAGATAAAAAATATATGTTTTGATTTACCTAAATATTACGGCAAAACTAGCGCCCTCCAGGAGCAAGGACAAAAGAAGCTTCAAATTTGTAATTCTCATACCAAACAACCCAATACTACCAATTTTCAGAGTCATGCTATTAAAACTTTCTCAATTATTGAGAAATTTCAAAATAATATTTATATCTTGAACATCCTGTATTACTTAAACCAGCGACATTAGTATCTCCAGCTTATTGTTGATCCATTTTTTCCGACTCACCCTGTATAATAAAAGTCAATTAATAGCAGAATTTAATCATTTAATAACTAATATACTATTAGTTAAATTATATGACCTCTCAGAAGTCCTCATCTGAATCCAAGTCATCTAAATCATATGAAATGGAGTAATTTTAAATTTTTTTAAACAAATTGAAACTTGAAATCCTGACATTCTTGGATTTCGCGACAATATTCCTTGATAACTTCAATATTCTAAAACATTTGGGTACTTTGCTTGTGATCACATTTTTAAGAGTTTGAAAACTGGCACGAATTTTCATAAATTTTTCTTATAAACGTACAAATAAAGTCCTTTGTCATTGAATCAGGCTACTATTTCCCACTAAAACTTTATGATAAATTATCTTATTAAAGACGAGAAACTAAAGAAATATTCAACGTGTGTCGCTAGCAATTCAAAACTACGAATGTAATAATTATTCAATGTTTTCTGTAATTAGTCAGCTAGCAATTCTAACGATTTTGATGACTCAGCGTGCAGAGACAATTACATGCACAAATAACGCATATGCTGTCTTTTTTTTAAGTAAGCAGTAATAAGCGATACTACTTTGTGTTACAGTGTCTAACAGTTTGAGTTACGAACGATTTTTAACGTGGAAAATTTGCCAATGTTTATTTATATACTAGATTTGAGATAAATGGGTTAGCGACGAACTATCTGTGTGGAAATATTATACGCTTAAAATACTTATTAGGTCCATTTTTTGCACGGTTTGATTCGATTGATAGATTCAGCTGAAACTATGTGCGATGAGTGAGGACACCGTGCCAAAATTGATGAAAAACGGTTTGTTATATACCAAAATTTCTTTGGCGTGTCTAATAACTTTTTTTTCTCTAATTCATATAAAAAGTAGCGAATTTAAGAATTTTATGTAACACTGGCAACACTGCATAGTTGCTTTCCTATTTAGAACAATTTGTGTTACGCGTAAATACCGCAGTGAAGTTAGCAGTTCTCAACTAGTCCCGTATTTATTTTTAATTTTACTTTATTATTCTTAATTTCTACCCGAAAAAATATTCTACACAGTAAGCTGTACCGCTGGTTAAGATGACCCAAAATTACTTACCAAAAAGCAAAATTCATTAATTTTTAAACGCACAAGTACAAAACAAGCTACAACATAATGCTCAAATCCACAGCCATTCTCGATGCACGCGCACGACATCTTCGAATCCAATTTTCGCGCACTCGCTAGAAAACATCTCGTGAAAAGGAAATAGTGGTAAGCAAAAAACACTCAGACACGGTCCAATTCCAGATACCAACTGAATTGTGTATTGGTGGAAAGCCGTGGTCGCGCCGTTGTCAAATTGCTCGATATGAACTTTATCGAATTTTAAATATATTACAACGCTAATTATTTTTTAGAATTAAGCATAAAGAAGTTCAAAAAAGTGATAAACATTGTATTTTATGGCATTCTGTGCACGCAGTTGTGTCAATATTCCTTCATTAATCGAACTTTTGTAGAAGTTGGAGATTTTGATAATTTTTTCTCGGAAATGTTTGAGTTTAGGGCCCATGTCATATAAGTTTTTTTTTGTTTATTTTAACGTATTCTACCGTCTGTTAAAATTAAGGCAGTGAAACTTCTCTAACACCCTGTAGAGAGAATAGACTGGTTCCATCAAGTCTATTATAGATTTTATCAGCTTTGCCGTGGAAATATGATACTTTCAATGTTTATATTAATTATTGATATAAATAATTTGTCTGTATTTGTCTCATTTTTCATTGAATAAATATTCTTATAAACATGTTTTCCATGGCAAAGTTGATAAAATCAGCATAGACGTATCTGCTACTTTTTAATTTTTTACATATTGTCTTACATCTTTTGAAAGAAAGATACTGAAAATGTTTTTTTGAGTAAAAGTTGTCCATAAAAAATATTTAGGAAATTGGGAAAAATCAAATCTTTAACCATCATTTGTGGGTTATGTGGACCTTTTATGTACACATTTAAGATTTCGAGTAGTTAATAATGTGCGAGTTTTTTATGTACAGGGTGTTCAGCGTAAGGCCATACTCTTTGAAAATTACTTTATTTCGACGTGATTCCGTTTCATTCTCCGTTTGCGTTTGGTAATTTCGATTTTTCTGTTGCAGGTAACAAAAGAGGAGCTAGCCAAATTAGTTCAAGGTTTCGAAAAACAGGACATCCTCACATCGTCAGGCGTCACCTTAGCCGGCAACAGATACATATACCTTTCCGGCACAGACCGCGTAATTAGGGCCAAATTGGGGAAAGTAGGCGTACATTGCATGAAAACGACACAAGGTAGGTCCAAAGATTAAAAAAAAAAGCTTCCGCTAAGTGTCCCACAATGTCTTGCGCTTAAATAAACCGCGATGTTTGCTCCTGACTCCTGACAATGGTTAGCAAATCGCGTGTCTAGTAAATTGACTGAAATCAGAAAAAAATAAAATGTTTTACTATTTGAACCTTCAGTAGAAATTTATGAGTGCATATGCCGATCAATAGCGGTAATAATTAGTAGGCCGTGGTATAGAAGTATTTCAATACTGAAATAAAATCGAAAATTAAAGAATTCCATCCCTCATTAAAATAAATCATTAATAATGGATATTCCTATAATTATGTACGTCCTTTAATGTGTAGTAATAGTCCAAAATACTAATGACATCACTTATTCATCAATATTCGTGTCACAATAACAAGAACCTACAAATATCTGTTCGGAACGAAATCTTGTTATTTCCTCGGATTATTTTCGTGGGTCGTTCGTTCATTCATTCATTTATTTTGTCCCGATATGGCGAGGTGCACTGTCACACGAGGTCGATGCTGCCAACTGTGCACGAAACTTACAAAAACAATTTTTCATATCGGCTGCCAAATGACGTCATCGAGTAATGGCACCGATCAGGATTACCGTAGGGAGTAACTGGCCTGCTTGTTTATTTTCGGAAACGATTTTGAGGGATATTTGGAATATCTGGGCGGTTAGGTAACGGGCGTTTGTTTGTTCGCCGGCTGGATCTGGGTTGGGAGCGTTGAGGCGAACGTAAAATTCCACGGTGTTGTTGATAACTTTGGTTGTATTTATTGGAATCGAGAATATTAGTTTCAAGTGGAATTTTGTATAAAATGTACAGACACCAATGTAGTTTGTGATTTTCATAATAATTTGGTATCAAACTTTACTCCCAAAACTTTAATGTTTTGGACGTTGTTTAGGGGAACACCTTCAATGCAATATTTATAATGAAATTTACCTTTCAAAATCTGCATTTGTTTATATTTTTGAACAATGTACACGCGGAAGAGATACATTTTTATGATCACTAAGGGATGATGTAGATTTAAATACCTTTAAGTCAACGTCATTGATAGACAAAGAAAAATGTAAAGGGTCCAAATGAGACCGCTGTGGTACACCTGTCGCAATTTAGACATAATTCGGTTTTCTGTCGCTTCTTATTCCAACTAAGAATTCATTCATCCTGAAAATCTTTCGTTAAAACAAAAATTAACAATATTTTTGTTCAATATCGATATTTTTTGTGCAAGAACAACAGTAATGTCCACATTAGTTGTTTATAGAAAAATGTTTGTGATTAAATCTTTTCCATCGTCATTAGAAACTGGAAAACATTGAAGGATTTGTAAATGAATATTAAATACGTTAAATATTTTATACTTGCAAACTTTCGAAGAAAATATTGGGAGATAACGGAAAATGATTTTATTTAAAATATAAAACTAGCCTACTACATATACTGTGAACAGAAAAAAACATTTGAGTGGCCCGTACACTCTTCAGACCAGACTCCCATTGGGTTTTCTCTAGAATTATTTGAAGAGTACAAGGAACCTACCTTGCCTCTTTGATGTTAGAACGACTCTTTTTCAAATGCCCAACAAAGCACTTCCGTCGACCATAGAAGGAGCGTCGTCGCGACGGTTTTCCGTCGTTTGTGAAAACGCGTCGCGCGCGACTACTGGAATGCGGCGTGTGTATTTTTAATGCATTTAGGTCAACACACCGGTCGGCTAGCGTGCTGAGGACGGAGAGTATGAATATTCTATGCACTTTGCACTCCCTGCAGCTCGCTTTACATTGATCGATAATCGAACAAACTTTTGCAGTCTATAAAAAAAGCTGATTTACTAGTTTTGTGCTTACAAAGATATTCGTGTGCCAAAAAGTTCCATTTTGTTTCGAAAAATTAGTTTTGTATGTAAATCATTAAAAACAAAATGAAGATGCTTGTGTTTAATTATATATCTTCTGTCATATTTTATGTGGTTTACTTAGAAATTCAATAAAAGCTTACTAGGATAGTTCTAAAGCAATATTAGTTTCTTTGGGTGTATACAAATTTGGTGTTCCTTTTCTCTACCCTTCGGAGGTATGTCTTCCACATTACTACATAAATAATAAAATATTCAAATCTACCACCGTTATTCGCATTTTCCGCGTTGTTTTCCCGCAAATTTGGAGATCACGTCATACATATAGAGAGGAGATATGTAGAAAGCATGCAGAATACTGTGTAACCCGCAGTTTATTTCGGATTGTTTCGCGTGTCGTTGCGAATTTTGAGTATGTATGTGGAAATGGTTTTATATGGAGCAGAGAATATCAGAGGCGTTTCCCTTATTGACAACACTTTCCGAGTCCTCGAACCTTCGTATGTACGAGTTTTCTCGGCACCGGCTCTTTGATCCTGCGACGAGAATTTGCAGAACATCGGCAAAATGACTTGAATGTGATAGAAGCTGTTTTAAATTCAGTTGAGGAACAACCTACTATTTCTACAAGAACCTCGTACCTTTTCTAGGTCCTTGCTGGGCAACAATGGCATTTTAATATGTTAATTTCGTACTTTTAAAAAATAATTTATATCATTCATTTCATATATTAACATTTTACATTATTATTGACTGAAGTGAGTAAGAAAAAACATAAGTTTCTAAAGTAGTCGATACAACCGTTTATTGATGATGTCTTGTAAAAGGAAAATGTTTAAATTTGGCAACAACGCTTTAGGCCGACATCGAGTTGGCTTGGGAGGCGTACCAATGCCGCCAGCTGTCAGGAGCGATCCGATTTTTAACCGCATTTTCATGTTCTACTCATTTTTTCCTATCGTCCCTTAAAATTCATGACATAACTGAAACATGTGTCGAATTTGGCGTTAATCGGTTCTGATTTCAATGATAATAAAATAGAAAATATAGATGTTGATGGATTGAGTTTTGTTATGTGATCATAAACTTAATTGTCAAACGTTTCCTAATAACATTTTTTGATACACCAAAATGGTACCTTATCTGCAAAACAAAAATATATTTTTTTGCCCCCAACAAGACACTTAATTTTTAAGAAGTAAAAATATGTTACAAATAATTTTTTAATAAAGTAGGATCGTTTCGCAAATTATGAAATTTCAACTGGAAACTATTTTTGTTACAATTACAGTTTAGGCTTAGACGATTAGTTTAAATGTTGAAATAAAAATAGATTTTTTTGTCCTCAACAAGACACTTAATTTTTAAGAAGTAAAAATATGTTACAAATAATTTTTTAATAAAGTAGGATCGTTTCGCAAATTATGAAATTTCAACTGGAAACTATTTTTGTTACAATTACAGTTTAGGCTTAGACGATTAGTTTAAATGTTGAAATAAAAATAGATTTTTTTGTCCTCAACAAGACACTTAATTTTTAAGAAGTAAAAATATGTTACAAATAATTTTTTAATAAAGTAGGATCGTTTCACAAATTATGAAATTTCAACTCAAACAATTTTTGTTACAATTACAGCTTAGGCTTAGACGATTAGATTAAATGTTAAAATAAAGATTAGCTATTTATGTTTCATGACAACTATTGAATTATTAATTTTTTAAAGATAAAATAGCTTTGTACGTGGAGCGCAAATGGCTTTATCTGTCTTCCAGACTCCCAACTGTCCCAAATGGCTACAGTAAGAAGCGAACACAATGTTTTTTATTGCCAGTGTTGCAAGAAACAACTACTCCGCGGGCTATATGCCCCGACCGGCATTGAATTATACTCGCAACACTTAGTGCAACAGCTAGGATCGTTCGTCAGTTGCACGGTACTGGAAACTGGTCCATTGTAAAACCTGTGTGATAAAAACGGACGAAAACTCGAAAAAATTCGCAAAAAATAAATAGAATTTTATAGCGCCTATTTTATATCAACAAATTCAACTGCTTTTGCCGCTATTGTTATAAAATAAAATATTAATTTGTGGTTTTAAATAATAAAATAATTTGACATACCTTTTGTTACAACAACTGTTCAAAATTTTGTCCACCGACGTGTAAACACATTTNTTATTATATTATTATATTATTATATTATTATATTATTATATTATTACTTAGTTTACTTTATAACACAAACGCTTTATCATAATACAGTTGATACGAGTTGCTATACACGCAAGCCATTTTTGACACTACTAAAAAAACTATTGTAAACACTATCGCAACGACGATTGTAAAATCGGATTTCAGTATTCGGAGTCGTTGAGGCGAATGACGCTAGAGACTACAGTTGTCCAGCTATGTACTGGTTGAAAGTACTACAACTTCAATAATTTTTATTTTTTCTACTACTAACTAACTAAGGATTTTACAATTTTTTTTAACAATATTGACTCCATTTCTCATGCCGCATCTATTCCCAATTTTTTTTGGATAAGTTGTGAATCACCCTGTACCTAATTAGTGAAATATTTCTTCTCAGCATAAACTATAAATTCTACATACATAATTGTGTTTATGAATCGGGAATGTAGGGAATGTAATAATAAGAGTATTATCATGTTTTTCGATGTCATTTTTATCCAACTCTTTTTCGAAGACGGGCTCCTGCCGATCCTATTTTACTTCTTACATTTTGTACTTGAGATAAAGTTAAATCCTAACAAATATTAGAATAATTCCTACTCTTATCAAAAAATCGTCGTTCGATGCTTCCATAAAGGATTTACCCTTCTGTTCACAGGTTCACAGCTAAATACTCTGGATTTAGGCCCGCATCCAACCGATTACTTTTTAAGAAATGCTATTAATTTAGAATATTTTTCAGTATTTACGTTCTTTTTTTCACAGTCAGCCAAAGGTTTTAAGCGTAATAGACAGTAATAGATACAAACAATATAGTGTCTTAACCACTGTGTATTGTTTATGTCACTGTCTATGACGTTTTTAAAAATCAAATATTTTTAAGAAATGCACAGTTGTAGATAAAGAATGCACGTAATACTTGTGATAACTGAACTTTTACCGCTGTTATTATGTAATATAATATTATTAAATTTCAAGAACCTGTATAAATATATTTTAGACACAATCCATCGAAACTATTACATTTTTGCAACTTCCTACAATTCCAACCATTTTTATTATTTTTTGTTCTAATTATTATTAATTTAAAATATTATTTCGGCGTTTCAATTTGTCCAATTCATTTTTTTAAATTCAATTCCGCAATATCGTTTCATGAACAGCCATCTCAAAAGTAACTGTCGTCCAGCGATTATTGAATCATTTATTAATTTATTGGTAATTATAGATTTATGCTCGTTTCTCATAAACGGTAATTACACTTTTTTTTTTCATTGCAACAATTTCCATTTATTTTTATTAATTGGTACGTTACGGTAAAGATACCGCCCACTTCAGGTTTATTTTTAAACGTCGTGGTCATTTATTCACGTAGCAGGTGTCCGCTGTTGAATTTAAAACGTAAAGTGAGTAGAAATATTGGAAAGAACCGGGAAAGTGGATTGTTAGCTTCGATCAATATGTTTTATCACCATTGGAATAATACACCAGTTTTTAACATCACGTAAAGTTACCAGAATATGCGAAATTATAATTTTTGTTGTTAGGTTCGAAATTGTCAAAGTTAACGACCCTTTTTCCTTGTACCGTTGCTTGAATTTCATGCTCGGCAGTTTTACTGTTGGCATTCGTGTTCATGATAATTACTGGGAAGTAAAAAATGTTCCTGGACAGACAGAGATGTATTGGGCGGTAAATTGAAGCCGGATGACATTTGTTTTTCACCCTCCCACAGCAGTTTTAGGGAGCGTTAACAGAGATGTTAAAAAATTCCTCTACTAACAACACCGTATCATTGAAAATATTTGGGTTCTAATTGTTTTAATAAACAAATGCAGAGCGTCCATTTTCTTCACAAATTAAGTAAGTGTTTTTTTTGCAGCCGTCGTAGTATCCCTCTATGAAGATCCAATCCAACCCCAACAAGCAGCGTCAGTGGTAGAAAAGCTAGGTGATTACTTGATTACCTGTGGCTACTAGAGGTGAGTAATTTTTTTAATGTTTATACTTTGATTTTCTTATTTGTTAACAATGGGGTTCCCTAGGGAGGCATATCGGGCCCTATGTTGTTTTTCATTTATGTAACGTCTCTTAACATTGCCTAATGTAGTAGAGACGCCACAGGGACTGTAATTGGACCCTATGTAACGTCACATTTATAATAGTTTCAAACAGAAACATTCTTTAGAATGGCGACTGGATAAGCGTTTTTTTTCTGTTTGTTTCAGATAGTGTGAGCCGCTATAAGCAGCCTTGCCGTGCGGCGACAAATATAATTATTAAAGTTGTATTTTTTTCAATAATAACAGCGAAGGCAATGTGTATATCGAGTGCATCATCAGTATATAAAGTTTTTCAATACAGGAACATTGTTTTCCTTTATTAAACTACTACAAATATATGTTAATGCGGTCAGCTCATTGATTTACTTCATAGTGAACAGTGTGGATTATATTATAAGCATCTCCCCCATCCCCGTCTTAGGATTTTTGATTTTGACTACTTCAGCCAAACCACGGATGCTTATAAGATAAATCACTTTCGCCCAATCATATAATTTTTTGACTGTGGTCTCATTTACATTGTTTTTTTTTTTAAGAATATTTAGGATACTTTAGGTAGGACGATTTCCAAAGGCCACGCCTACCTAGCGAGGCCTCTGAAAATGCCCGTATTTTTAATTTTAATTATAAATTTAAGCATTTCGTGTTAGCTTTTCTTATACCATTGCTATCTCTAAATATTTGATACTGAGAACTTACAGTTTAGGGTTTTTTAATAAAAAAATCTCTAGTCCCGCTGTTTCTATTCTTTTTTTTCTCCTTATTTACATCCCCCCCCCTCACCTCCAGAGCTTTGTACTGTAATAATGTAACATGTTGGATTTGGAAAAAAACTCGTATCGAGTGGGGTCACCCGGGTACTCGTTTTCGTTCTCCGTATCCGTTAACACCTAAGTTTCCGTGGATATATATGCCAGAGTTAACGGATATATCCGAAAGTTACGATATAAATTAACGGATCGCATTCGCAAATTAACGGATCCTATTTACCAATTAACGGATCCTAGTTCTGGATTAACGGATCATATTTCCGGATTAACGGGTCACGTACTAATTAACGGATACGCGACGGGCGCGAGTTGGGTACCTGCGGTCTTCCCAGGGTCGAGATTTGCCAAAAGTTGATTTGAAAGCACAAAACTAGACCTAAGTAAAGTGTGTTCCATAGAAGAAGGTAAATTTACGATCTTTGCCGGCACGTGGACCTCGGGTGTACGTGCCGGCAGACACGTCATTTAAGCAGCTTCTACTAGATTTTTTATTTTGGCGTTTTTTTTTTCTTTACCGCTTCATGTCGATGAATAATCTTGCTATGATTGGTGTGACCTAGTCCTATGTCTATTGGAAAGTTCCAGCACTAGTTTTGTCCAAACACACACGGTTTGTTGATCGGCGAATACTTTGAAATTTGTGATAAGTTCGTTAGATTTAGATTTCCAATATTTATTCTTCCTGATACTTATGACTAATACACCAATCAAAACTTACTCGGAATTAGGCGAGGGTCTACGATGGGGACCTTCGCGTAATTTCTCGTAGGGTGCTGTAATGTTGTAATGCGTTAAATGCTCAGATTTTTGTCTTTGTATAAGACATGATTTTTACCTCTTAATTTAAAAATCGGAAAGTAGCTTTGTAAAATTTCTGATATGATTCGCAAGGGATATTGTGTATCTAAATGAAAATCATAATAAATTTGTATTATAAATTTGGTATGTTTTCTTTTCCGCCCCGCTCTCCTGATTTCAGCCTAATCGATCAATCGATTTTGTGTGCTAAAAATACTGCTTTGCCTTTAAACTTGATTTGCCAAAGATTGATTAAACATTGAATGGTGTACAGCAACATATGAAAAACTCTTTGTCTTGTGAATTGGTCTCGAATTGGATCCTTGAGAAATCAGATCTTAGAGTTCTCTATAACGTACAAGGTAAGTCAATATAAACCCTCACTGGTTTAAGGGAACTTATTTTGAAGATTTTGTCACCACCAAATGAAGTTTCAAAGTTTGATTTATACCAGCGGTTCTTAAACTTTTGTTTACCGTCCAATAATTTTTTTGTTGCAGTTACTTAGATATAAGTCCCAATTTAAATGGGTCTGATTCAGACCGTCTGAAATATTATTATTATTAAATTACACACCAAACGTAAATTTTGCCAAGAAAAACATTAAGTTACACCCTGGCATAAAGAAAGTCCATCTTCTTAATTAGTTGTTATTATTGATAAAATGCCCCTAAATACTGAACACTACAAACACAGGCACAGGCCACCACCAGCAACATACAGTGTTTTGAAATATATATATATATACAGGGTGATTCACAAACGGTGACTAAAAATGAAACCTCGTATTCTTTAGGGAATTTTAATAAGAATCATTCGTTTTTATTTTTTTTATCTAGGATGCTTCGTTAAAAAGTAAGTGAAATAATTTGAAATTAGGCACTTGTATTTATGTAAACATTGACCAAAATCTGAGGCCTTTTCCTAAAATTTAGATGCTCCAGTGGCGGTGATACAGGTTATTGGTGGCATATTTTCTATATGTCCGCCACTGCTTTACGGTAACAATCATGATATTTTCGGATTTGTTTTTCAATTTTCTACGAATTACTACTCTTTTATGTTTTTCGAAAAAAAACCTGATTTTCGAGTAAAACTTAAAAAATGAACTGAAAACACTTTTACTTAAATGACAACATACATTAATCATTCGCTTATTTAAGGAGCTTCAATACCGAAAAAAAATGGTAAGAAAGTTTTCAAAATCATTGAAATATGTTAATAAATATGCAAACTACTTCGTGTAAAATTATCAGATCGATTGCCAATATACTTTTTTTGAAAAATGATAAAAATTATGATCTTAAAGCGAGTTGGGGGAAACCTTTAATCAACCGTGAATATTGCTCTTAAAAATAGTTAGGATCGTGGAAATGAAATTGTAATTAAAGAATTAAATATTACTAAACATTTTAAAACAATAAAAATATGCACTTACAATGTAGTAATTATTGAGATAATGAAATGAATAGATAACGTTTTGACTTTGAACAAACATCTGATCCAATGAAAGGAAATATGGCAACACTGTACGCTGTATTTAACGCTTCGACTGCCGCGCTATATTTGAATAGATCGATTTATAGATAGACTAATTATTCCAATCGAAAACATATGTAGTAATAATTAATATTAAATAAATTTTTCGTAATCTAATGTAATATAACAGCAATTTGAAAGAAAAATTTAAAGGATCTTTGTGCAAAACGAACAGTATAGATGTTCTGTCTCACTATCATGCACTGAGCTTGTTGATAGTTATATGGATTCTCGGTTTGCGCCACAGATTATATACTCTCGCTTGCACATTTTACTTTTTCTCATCAGTCCACATTGTTTCATACGCATTTTATATTGCTTTCAGTCATTACTTTTCCTTTGTATCTTGGATGTTCATTCATGTTTACGGAATACGCGCTAAGCACACTTGACAGTAATGACAGTTGACCCAACTTTTACCGCCACGCCATGGCAATGTTGCAAAAAGATAATTGCCGCGAATTAAACACGAAAAATATATACAAGCTAGTATGTGTCGTATAAATTTCATTCGCATATATTATATTTAGTTCGCTTAAATTAGTTTATGTAAGGTTGGTACTACAGACGAAACTACCGTAGTATAAGCATAGACTTTAATGATTCTGTTTGAGTAAATGCTCGCTCAAAAATACCTCCATTTCCTCGAACACGGGCCCGATATCTTTTTAGTAACGAAAATGTAATATATTCGAAGTTTATTGTTACTTGAATCTGTTGAAAAGCATTATTTATCTTTCTTCTAATGTCAAAATTGCTATCGCTACTACTTATGTAATTTTAAAACGAATTTTATTCGAATGTCGAAGTGTTTTCAGTTCGTAATATTTTCTAGAAAAATTTGTTTTTTAATTATTTGCGACACCGATGAAGCAGTTTTACATAAGAAACCTAGATACGGAAGTCCATAAAAATTGTTAAAAATAATACCTAAATAAAAAAAATTATTGTTTTTTAATTGTAAATAAATTTAAAAAAATTGATATATTTTTTCTATTATACCTTTGCATTAAGTATACCAGAAAATTTATTTCCTATTAAATTAAATTTAAATTACAAATTTTTATTTTTTATTATTCAAAGTAAAAAAAAAACTGATTTTTCTGGAATTTATAAAAAGGGGCATAATTAATTTACGAATTACGAGGGTTTACATTACGATGTACACCCTCGAATATCTATAAAATGATAAGATTGATGCTCATAAATAAACCTCGGAAAACTACATACCTAAGATTTTCCAATAATTTTCCGCAATTTTCTTTTCTCTATAAGTCACTTTTGTTATTTAAAAATGAATTGACCATTATTTTGGCTTCAAAACTTTACTTTTCACGGAATTTATACTTCATTTAAAAAATATACGGCAAAATTATTGGAAAAATCGAAGCAGTTTTGTAAGAAATTTAATTTTGAACATTTGAAACTTTTTTTCGAAAAAATACATCGAGACGACAGTTCTTGTTTTGAAAAACGAGAAAAATCATATACCGATATACACAGTGATTCAGGTTTAATCTAGATAACTTCTGGAATCGATAAAGATAAAAGTGGTGTGCAGTTGTTTTATTGAAATTAATTTTTTTGAAATACACTTCTAAGAGTTATTAAACCTGAATCGCCCTGTATGTTGATGGTTGCGTATGTGACACATATTTTTCGACCTCAAAACGTACACTTTTCCATAAAAAAGATCGCTCATTTTTTCCTTATTTTCCTGGACTATAAAAAACTGGGGTCCAACAGTCTAAGCCAATATGATATAAATGAAAAATTTGTTTGTCGAACTTTTATCAGTTTACCCTTGAAGGTATTACGCCGAGTACTTACTTAATGTCTGATATTTTTCGGCCACAAATAAAGGATTAATTCCAAATTCCTCTAATAATCCTCAATAATTACATTTTCCAAGATAGTACGTCTAAATACATTTTTAACAGAGATAGTTACTTAAGTAATAGGATAATTGAACAGTTTGTATGTGAAAAAGCCATTCAATTTTCTTTTGTTCTACCTTGTGACGATTTTAAACTCACGGTTTCCTGGACACCAGCGATTGCCGGCCACAATGATTAGGAAGGGCCGGATATACACAAATGCGGTTAGTCACTCCGCCACATCCCGTCTGGTAGATAGGATACGTGCTCGGGATACTAATATCCCAGGCTCAACTTGTAACAACCGGCAAATCTGCCGTTTATCAGCATGGCGATTAGCATGGATTGTTCGCTGTTTAATCGTGGTCGTGCGTAAACAATTATTAATTTCATTTTCAACTCCACTGGAAATTATGACATTTTCTCAATAATAGGTGGTACTAAGGCAGTTTGAATTCTGAATTCAGCAAAAAACGCCCTTGAATGTTTAAACTAAAAAAAAAATCATTACACAATTATTTGTCTTTTCTCACAAGTTTGTAGTAAATCTCTAGACTTGTGTTGACCAAGTACCTACCTAATAATTGCTGTATTCATAAAACAAACTTTCCACGAATGTAGGGATCTTAGATTTCTAGAAAAATAAGTTGGCCCTACCGTCACAACAGTATTTTTGCACTGATTTCCAACAAGATCAGATATCAGTCAATCGGCTTGTGGAATTTTTAAAATTAACCAATCGCAGTGTCTAGCTTTAAA